AAATAAGACATGATGGTCCGAATATTCAAGTTGTTTTATTATTCTGGCTGGTATTCACATTGAAAAACTGTAAAACTGCAGGTCCGAACAGGTGATCGGGTGTCAGGATTTAAGATTATACAAGGAATCCCATTTTGACATGTTTATCCACAGAAGGAACATGTGGATCTGTCATCCTGTGTTATGCCTCAATGTTTTCACCACCTGATCTGCATGACAGCTCAGTCCTGCAGGCAGAACTGAAACTCCACACTTCGCTGCACTAAATGCTACACCCACTCCTTACTGTGACACAGACGGTGGTTTTCCTGAACAAGTTCTCACTCACACCAAAAACACTGAAGTGTGAAATGTGTTGCTATAATTGAAGACAGCATTTTCATTAAGATTCAAGCTGTGAATTGTATGTTTTATTTCATTATTTGTTCTTTCTTGGGGGTCGTACGCTTCGAAAGAGACACAGTCACTATCTTCTGGACAATAAGTGATGCAGCTTTTCTGAACCATTATTTATGAATAAATAAAATTAGATATCTCATTGAAGGGAATACATTTATTTGTAGAATTATTTTTGCACAATTACACCTTTTTCTCTAACAAAAGTGTTTAAGTAAACGTATACCAAAAGTCTATCAACATCAATATTTTTCAATTTGTATGTAGAATTGTGTCTGAATTCAAACTTATATTTACATAGTTTTGTTTATCCTCATTATTGTTATTTACCCAGAGATTTGTCCTGATATGCTCCACCTTTTGAACTCCAGGCATGTATCCTGAGTGTATCGAGCAACAGGTGGAGAATAGTCTTAAAATGCTGTATATCCGCATTTCTGATCATATATTCTGAATTACAATTTCAGTGATGCATACCAAGCCCAAACATTGCGGAATGGCAAATCTGTAACAATCAGATGTGATTTGGAGATAAATCACTGGTAAATCACAGGATTTAGTTTCCCAGCTGTTCCTTATGTTGCCACAAGATGGCGTGAAGACGAAATGTTTCCATGTTACAAGCACACAACTCCCATCCATCATGTATTATGCTTTGTTTCAGTTTGGGGATATGCATATATCTATATCTATTTGCATGGCATCTATTCGATAGAAAACATTACAGTAATGAGATCACTGCTTTAAGTCTCATTCAGTGATGTTGACATTTGTATTTGAAATAAGCGGGCAACTACTCTTTAGGTGGGAGAGGTATACACTTATTGTACTTAAGTAAAAGTACCAGAGTGTAGTAAAGACCTGCATTCAAAATGTTACTCTAGTAAAAGGGCAAAAGTATTAGAATCTAAATATACTTAAAGTACCAAAAGTAAAAGTAGTCATTATGCAAAATGGTCCATTTTAGAATATTGTATGTTTTGATTTTAATGATTGATCATTAAAGTGTTATCAAAGCTGGTAAAGGTGCAGCTAGTTTTAATGACTTTGTATACTGCAGGGTAGCTTGTGAATTTATTCCAGGAGTAACTACATTCTTATTTAAGTGTTTGATTACATTTCATATTATTAATCCAAATCTGTAAAGTAACTTGAAATATTAAATACAATATTATACTTATATTAAAATAGTATAAATACAATTGTATATGTCCCTGTAGTTACTTTGCAGATTTTGATTAATGATGTGAATTATAATAAACTCTTCAATCAGACTTTAGTTACACCTGGAGTAACATTCACAAGCTACCCTGCTGTGTACAAAGTTATTAAAACTAGCTGCACCTTTACAGTACCAGCTTTAATAACACTTTAATGCATCAATAATTATAATCAAAACATATAATATATATTATTCTAAAATGGGCCAATTTGTAATGAGTATCTTTACTTTTGGTACTTTAAGTATATTTTGATGCTAATACTTTTGTACTTTCACTTGAGTAACATTTTGAATGTTACTTGTAACAGAGTATATCTACACTCTTGTAGTTGTACTTTTACTCAAGTACAAGATCTGAGTACTCCTCCCAATTATATTTATCTATTTACATTGCATCTCATTCAGTGATATTAACCTTTTTATTTCAAATAAACGGATATCTATTCTGTAGGCAACTATATATCTAATGGAGATTATATTCAGATTGTAATGCTAGAAATCTGTAAATATCAGTGTGTTCTTTGACACTCGGGCCACCCAATGGCTGCCCTGTGTGTGTCTTTAAGGGGCGGGGCTATATCCTCGGTGTGAGGCAGCTCTCAGCGGATGGGAGTAGTGCCGCTCGCAGACAGGAGACAGGATCCATGGCAACAATCATGGCAGGTGGGAGCAACACAAAACAAGAGGATAACTATATTTCTAAATTCAAATTGTGTTTTTAGACGGATTGTGATAATGTCCTTTGTATGTGTGCTGTGTTTCAGAGGCAGAGACTCGTCAGAGGCTGCTGCGCACCGTCAAGAAGGAGGTGGGTGTTTTCAGCTCTGCACTTCTCGCCTCGGAAAAACAAACACGTTGGTTTTTATGAATCTGTTCAGCCCAGTTTCCCCCTGTGCTTAGATAGGTGAAACATAGCAAACATGTGTTGACACTTGCACTGAACGCCCCATCTTTTCCTGATGACACCTGAGATACATTGGTTTTGATGCTCTAAAAACGAAATGTCTTTTTTTCTTTTAAGACTAAACAAGCCAAAATATTATGTATATTATTACCATTACGGGTTTGAAGTGTTGCTTTTTTCTTTAACAATGTTTTTAATATAATTAAGAGCTTTCTGTTTTGAGTGTTCGTGCTGCAGCTCAGTAATTATTCGCATGGAGAAACAGATTGTGTGTGTTCAGTGTTTGTGGTGTTTATGGCAGAGCAAACCATCAGCCTTCTGCCCAGCCATTTGGTAAGAGTCGGTATCAAAGTGTGTGTGTGTGTGTGTGTGTGGTGTGTGTGTGTGTGTGTGTGTGTGTGTGTGTGTGTGTGTGTGTGTGTGTGTGTGTGTGTGTGTGTGTGTGTGTGTGTGTGTGTGTGTGTGTGTGTGTGTGTGTGTGTGTGTGTGTGTGTGTGTGTGTGTGTGTGTGTGTGTGTGGTGTGTGTGTGTGTGTGTGTGTGTGTGTGTGTGTGTGTGTGTGTGTGTGTGTGTGTGTGTGTGTGTGTGTGTGTGTGTGGTGTGTGTGTGTGTGTGTGTGTGTGTGTGTGTGTGACTGTGTGTGACTGTGTGTAATTCATGTAATGCGTTATATGATGTTGAGTGGAAACAAAGATGGAAGCAGCTCTGGAGGTTTGTTCAGCTGGTTTTCAGCCTCCTCATGTCACTCATCATCATTTGAGGTAACTGTAGAAAAACAGAAGACCAGGGTTCAGCAGAGATCAAATGAGATGTCGCTACCATTTAGTTTGTCTGACATTCAGACGTGGAATAAGGTTTTACTCTATGAGATATTCATCCTGGTGTGAACAATCTTTCTCAGAACGCTTACAGGAGTCTTTAAATATAGATGAGAGGACGGAGGACATGGTGTTAATGAATGCTTGCATAAATATCTGTTTAGATATGTCACATGAACCCTGTCACATGGAAAACGTAGTGAAAGCTCAAGTTACATTATCCTCCATTTTGAGGAGATCTCTAATGTCTGTCATTGATTTTTCTTTACAATACTGCTTTAGAGTAATACTGTGTATGCACAGTCCATGCCCAACACAAGAGTTACTGTTGGTAAGAACATTTTACTGCAATGTGACTAAATATGTGTAGTTGAACCAACCCAGCTTCAAACATATTAACTTTGTTGGATATAGATTACATTAAAGGCAATTACATTTCTCAATGAAAGCTGTGTGTGTGTGTGTGTGTGTGTGTGTGTGTGTGTGTGTGTGTGGTGTGTGTGTGTGTGGGTGTGTGTGTGTGTGTGGTGTGTGTGTGTGTGTGTGTGTGGTGTGTGTGTGTGTGTGTGTGTGTGTGTGTGTGTGTGTGTGGTGTGTGTGTGTGTGTGTGTGTGTGTGTGTGTGTGTGTGTGTGTGTGTGTGTGTGTGTGTGTGTGTGTGTGTGTGTGTGTGTGTGTGTGTGTGTGTGTGTGTGTGTGTGTGTGTGTGTGTGTGTGTGTGTGTGTGTGTGTGTGTGTTGTGGTGTGTGTGTGTGTGTGTGTGTGTGTGTGTGTGTGTGTGTGTGTGTGTTCTCCTATAGTGGTGTTTACATTGTGGTCTTTACTGTTGAGGTTTTTGTTTGCCTCTGTTCAGGGAAGGTTTCCTTAAAATCATGAACACCTGATATTTACACATTTATAACACCTGAAGCTTTACAACATCACCAACCTAAAACTTTTATATATCGTTTATTTTGGTCTAAAATACTGAAACAGGGGAAGATTAAAATACGTTTTAAGGGAACAATGACTTTCTCATGTATCCCAGTTCAGAGCACTTCTGTTAATTATTGATGGATTTATTTAATTAGTTTCATATTAGATTGCCTCATAAATTACAAGACTTTATTTCTACCAAACAAACGAAGATAAAAATCCCATCCTGGATCTTGTGAAAAGATGAATAGCTAGACTTTGGTCTGATTTGTTTTCCTCTGAGTCCTGTTTGCAGTCTTATCAGTGGAAACCAGGCCCTTCCCCATGATTGAACCTGCCTCCTGTGCGCTGATACGGCCTCAGTGGGATTCACTTTTACTATACCTTAAGTGCAGCCTGATGGAGTCTGTGGATAGAAAAACATGATAGCTCACTTTATTAACAGATGGCACTCGGCATTAATCAGGATGAGTTAATAAGACTCATATATCGTGTTCGATTTGTAAGTCTTGAACAGTTGGAAAATATGTTTTAGGTTTAAAAATATACTTGAATTGAAATATATCGCTTGCAAATGTTTTGATTTTCCCCGAAAATCTTTTATCATTCCTTATGTTTGTTGTGTAGGCTATAGTTCTCCTGGCATCTCATAACACATGCAGAGTCATTTCATTTAGTATTATTACAACTAAATGTAAAGATAAAGGCTCTTTGAGTCTGAATAATGTTGCTCTAGGTACATTGAA